TACTCTTTTGCTTCAGATGAGTAATTCTTTTAAGGGGAGAAAAATGAGAAAAATGTCTCATATTTACCTTTATTCTGTTCATATCTTTATTTAGATCCAGATTTCTCTCTGATAGCATACTTCTGCCTAGAGAACTTCCTGTACCATTTCTTACAGTGCTGTTCTGATGGTAATGAATTTTCTCAATTGTTGTTTATCTGAAAAGATGTTTCTGTCTCCTTAATGTTTGACAGATATTTTCACTAGCTATAGATTTCTGGGTTGGCAGTTTCTTTTAGCATTTTAAAGATACCACTCTGTTATCTTCTGGTCATAGAATTTCTTTTTTTTTTTTGGTACCAGGGATTGAACTTGGTACCTTGTGCTTGCGAGGCAGGTGGCAGAACCACTGAGCTAAATCCCTGGCCCTGGTCATAGAATTTCTGATGAGAAATCTGTAATTCCCATCTTCATTCTTCTGTATATAGTGTATCTTTTCTCGCTAGATGTCTTTAAGATTTTCTATCTTTGGTTTTCAACATTTTGAGTACGATATATCAGATTGGGTTTTTTTTAATGTGCTAAATATGTTGCATGTCTGTGTATTGTTATTTAATATTTTTGAATTGAGTTTCCTAGCTCTGTGGTTTGATATTTTTCATTATTTTAAAAAAAATTCCTGGCTATTATACCTACATATAACTTATTCATATTTCTCTGCCTCTTCTTCTGGAATCTGAATTACTCATATGTTAGCTCTTTGAATTAGTTACTGTTTTTGCTTGGTTGTTTCACTCTTTTTTCTCTTTCTGTTTCAACTTGAGTAGTCTGTTGCTCTTTTAAGTTCACCATTTCTTCTCTCTCATTTTTTTTTTCCTTCTGTGGCATTAGGGATTGAACCCAGGACCTAGTGCATTTTAGACAAGTACACTATCATTGAGCTACATGGCCAGATCTTTTGTTATCATTTTATTATTTATTTAGTTATTTGGGGTTTTTGAGACAGGGTCTCACTATGCAGTTCAGGCTGGCCTCGAACTCACTATGTACCCCAGGCTGGCCTCGAACTCCTGGCTATCCTCCTGCCTCATCCTCCCAAGTATTACAGGCATGCTCCACCTCACCTAACCCAGCTGTTTTTAAAATTATTATTTTATTTTGAAACAGAGTCTCTCTATATTGCCAAGGCTAGCCTTGAACTTGCAATACTCCTGCTTCAGCCTCCAGAGTAGCTGGGATTACAGATGTGTGCCACCACCCTGAGCTAGGTTTATAGGTTCTTTCCTCAACTGTGTTGAGATTACTGATGAGCTTGTGAAAGGTGTTGTTCAAGTACAGTGTTTGTGATGGATGTTTATTTATAGTATTGCCATTTGACATTTTTATAGTCTCCATCTCTGCTAAGATTCTTCTTCTGTTCATTTATGTCGTCTACACTTTCTACAAGAGCTCTTTACATATTAGTTATAGGTGTTTTAAATTCTCTTGTCAGATAACTGCAGTATCTGGGCCTTGATCTGGCTGATTGCTTTGTCTCTCAACAGAAGAGTTTTTTTGGTTTTTAAAATATGTGTGCTGTGACTTTGCTCTTTAATTGTAAGTACACAGTTTAATTTCTAATAATGGTAATTTGATTTTTGACTGGTTTCTAGACATGGTGTATAGAACAGTAGGGGCTGAGTACAATATATTTATATTCTCATATCTCCTCCTCTGTTAGGTCATCAGTGTGCAGTATGGAGTCAGTCCTGTCAGGAGCTGAATTAAGTTTGAGTTTTGTTGTTTCTATCATTTTTCTTTTGCCTGTGGCTCCCACACATTCCATGCTCTCAACATTAGCCACCACAGGTCCCTTTTCTCATCACTGGGACAAAATACCTGACACCTGCAACTTAAAAGAGGAGAGGTTTACTTTGGCTCAGTGTTTTAGTCTGCAGTTGGCTGGCTCCAAGGCAGGAAGGAACAGTGGAAGGGCCAGCCTTGCATGCAGGAAGGCTGCTGACCTCATGGTTGCTGGGAGGCAGAGGGAGAAGGGAGGAGCAGACCCTCCCAGACCATGCCCCCAGTGACCCACCTTCTAACCTCAAGTCAGGTACAATGCCTCCAAAATCCAGTCATCTTCCAAAGACATGAAGCTTTGGAGGCCATTTTAAACTATAGCAATGGGCCTCTAGCAAGTCAATACAAATTGTAGCTAGACTCTTCTTACCATCTTGCATGGACAGTTTGTATTGGTTCTACTTCTCAAGTGAGCCACTACCTACATCCCTTTTCTTACTGAGGCTCATGTCCTTCTTTGGAATTCAGCTTAACTGGTTTCTCTGCAACCTCAGCTCTCTGATGTGTTTGACGAAAGTTATGATTTTATATATTACCCAACAACTTAAAAAAACTATTATTAGTACCTGGGTGTGGTGGTACATGCCTGTAATCCCACCACTTGGGAGGCTGAGGTAAGAGGATTGCTGTGAGTTCAAGGCCAACCTGGGCAACACATACTGAGTTCAAGGCCAGCCTGAACTACACAGTGAGACCCTGTCTCCAAAAAAATCCCAAAAAACTAAAATAATTATTATTAGTGTGATAGTTATGCTTTCCCCAATTTTCTGCATCCTAGCTGCAAGAGAGAAGTATCTGGCCATTAACTATTTCACTGCTGTTTTTAACTTCTTTGGCCATCCCCTCCTTGACTGCTGCCTGGGTCTTTTTCTTGGATAACATCTTTATGCTTCCGTCCTCTAAATTATTTCAGCTTGGAACCACCCTGCCCCCCCCCACCAACCATTCTTTCTGAGACAGGGGTTTAGAAAGCCTGTAGTTCAGGCTGGCCTTGAATTCATTAAATACCCAAGCTGGCCTCAAGCTCATGGCAACCCTTCTGCCTCAGCCTCCTGAGTACTGGAATTATAGGCATGAACCACTTCATCCAGGGTCCCCCAACCATTCTTGTGGCTAATATCCAGCAAAGAGAAGGGACAGCGGTTCCTGATTTTTCATTATCTTGGGTTCAGAATAATCTACAGAGTCCTGGTCCCAGTGATGTCTGAAAACGGGGAAGGTGACTGTAGAAGGTAGCCAAGACCCATCTACCCTACTCCTGACCTGGCCTTATTCTTCTGTGCTAGGGAGAGGGACCAGAGCTGGGCATGGGGACCCACACTTGTAATCTCAGCACTCAGAGGCTGAGGCAGGAGGGTGGAAATTTTGAGCCTAGCTTGGGGAACTTAGTGACTTAGCAAGACCCTGTCTCAAAATAAAAAAAAAAAAAAAAAAAAAAAAGGCTGGGGAGGTAGCTCAGTGTGAAGGCCTTGGATTCAATTCCCAGTAAAGAAAAAAAAGAAAAGAAAAAAAGCAGGGGGACCCAAATACCTACCCATATACTAATACTAATTAGAAACAGTAATCAAAATTACTAAAATATTTCCTGGAAGATGGAAATTACCACTGAGTAAAGAGGGAACAGTCTGGGAATAGTGGTTACAAGCAGTCTCTGGAGGCAGGTAGTCTACCAGGGTTCACATCCCAGCTCTGCCACCAAGTAGCTGCAGGACCTTGGACAAATTCTCTTCTCTCTCAGTTTCTAATCTGTAAAGTGGAAATAATAGCACTTACCTCATAGACGTGTTTAGAAGAGCAAAAGTTAATATACGTAATAAGCTCGGTAGGAGTGTTAACAATTAGGGCTCCCTTCCTATAATCGGAGAAATTTGTGGCAGAGAGCATTTCCTTCCCTTTCCCAGAACCCATTAGCATCAAAACAGGTAATTACTGAGCATCCTCAAAGTGCTCAAGTCCTGCACTAAGCACTTTGTATGAATTATCTCATAAGAGATAGAGATTATTCCTCATTCATGGGCAAAGAAATCAGGATCAGAGAAGTGTTTACCCAGGTCTTTCAGACTGCAAGAGGGTTTACAGCCCGGGATGATCCTAACCACCTCACTTGCCTCCCACAAGCTAGTGTCAACGCTAGTACACTAGTAGGGAGGCTGTATTTATCTTACAAGTTTGTGAGATCTCACTGCTAGCAGAGTAAGTACCTTAGGTATTTGTAAAGTGCTGTTCCCTGACAGGAAAACCTGGACGTGACAAGAATTTTCACACTTTTATTCAGCCCTTTGCACACACCCTTTCCCCTCTTCTCTGTATGTTGAATTCATTTCTTCAAGGCTTCACTCAGCTACAGTATCAGCGCCTAGATTTCACTCTCAGCTATGACGGGATTTGAGCAAAGGGTGGCACATCAGGCTTGAGAAATGACAGCTGACTGCACTGTGGGGAGTGGAGCGTACTAGGACCACGAGGAGCTCAGCAAAGTCAGAGGAATGGTGGATTGGTAAAATACTACTTAGGGAAAGAGGCTTTACAGGAAATGGAGGTGTATTTTAATGTGGGCGGCGAGGGAAAGGGACGTGCCAAGGATGACGCCTAGTTCCTGGCTAGCTCCAGGATGTTTGTTGAATGAATTACCGAATGATCCCAACACAGAAGCATCTCTGACCCGCAACCCCACACACTGCCCCGCCGCCGCTGGCCCGTCCCATGCTTCTGGAGCTCAGACGACAAGGAATGGGTGGAATGGGAAGGGGAAGAGAATGAGCACTAAGTCTTGATCCAGGAGCTACTAGATTGGACGCTTCTAGCACTGGTCTGAGTCGGGAGGTGCTGTGAAGGGGGACAAACATGTCCCCTCGTCCTGCAGTTTCTGCCTCTTCTACTCGCTAGGCCGGACGTCCAGTACCCCTCTTAGGACCGTATAAGTGTTGGCTCCCTGCCGGTGTCCAGGGCGCGGCGCAGCGGCTCACCCCTCCAGCCCTGACGCACCAGGCCCCGCGGCCACTCCGCCTAATGCGCTGGTGGCCTGGGTGGCGGCTCCGTCTAGCCCCAGCTGCAGGAATCAGGCGAGCAGGGTGCGTTCCAGCGTTAGGGGGCCGTCCGTTGTAATGCACCTGCCGGGCTGGGTCAGTGGCGCTCCCCTCCCGCAGCTCTCCACCCTCCCTTCCCCAGCTGAGCCTTCTCGCGAAGTGCGCGCCTAAGCACGGCAAGCGCGGCCAAGGGTGGCGGCAGTCAGGGAGCGGCTGCGTGGGCGCTGCCCAGGAGCCGGAGCATCAAGTGTGCGTGGGCAGAGCGGGCGCGTGTGTCCGCCACGAATGTGCGCTGGGCGGGGGCGCAGCAAGTGCATCCCAGCGGACGCAGACCAGCGCGCGGCGTCGGCGGCGAGGTGGAGTGTAGAGGAGCGCGGCTGGCCGCAGAGAGGAAGGATGCGTGCGGGTAACTTTTTGCTCGCCCCGCAAGTCCGAGCAGTCGCGCTGGAAGGGGCTGTCTCCGGCCGCCGGGCGAGAGCCGAGCGCCTGTGCCCGTCGCCGCCCCTCCCCCACTTCCGCCTCCCGCCTCTTCCTCGTTCCCCGCTCCCAGGGCTGTCCGTCCCCGGGGAGACCCGGAGGCGCAGCCCCACCCCGGCCGGCGCGGCCCGCTCCCACGCCCCCGCCGCCGCCTCGCCCGGGCGGACAGACTGAGTCAGCGGGGGCGCCAGGCGCTGCAGGTAGGGGCTCCGGCGACCGTGGGCGCAGGTGCCGCGGGGGGCCGGAGCGCGAGTGGCCGGCGGGGAGCAGGGGTGGCTTCCTCCTCCGACCCCTCCCTTCCCGGCCGACGCGGCGTGTCCCTTTTTAGGGCATTCTTTTGCTCCTGCTTACTCCACTGCGGGTGGGGCTGGGACAGAGGGAGTTCTGCATTTCACCGGCTCCTGCTCGGGCCCCTGGCAGCCTCCAGCCCCCGAACCTCTTCTCTCTCTCCCCCGGCTCCTTAGAGTCGCGTAAACAACTCCCTTGCTCCAGCTCCCGGTCCGCGGCCCTGGAGGGCAGCCCCTTGGATCGCGTGAGACTGTGGGTTCAAGGGAGGGGGAGAGGAGGGGGCGCCCCGGAGCCCCTGGTACCCGGCAATTCCCCCTCGGTCGGTCTCTCCTCCCCCTCTCCCCGATGCTAAGGCAGACGGCCCCAGGAGCCCTGGGTATTTTTAGCGTTGTGACCTGGGCGGCAGCTCTAAGAGCCTTTCCCAGGAATCGGCGTCAGCGCCTCCCTTCTCTGGCACCAGCCCGTGGCCACACCGGCTACCCACACTTCCTTGGCCCCCCGGGTGTTGGGTCCCTTTGAGCTGCCGCAGCGCCTATGGAGCTGGTCGGGGTCTGGCATACGCTGAGTCCAGAGGTGGCGGCTCACGGAGGATAATAATCTGGTCCTCAAACTAGGAACTCCTGCTCCTGGCGATGGGCTCTGTGCAGAATGCCAGGAATGAGATTGAGCGAATGGGAGTGAATGCACAGGGCCTGGGCTGCCCAGAGCGCTGGTGTTCTGGAAAGCTCTCAGCACTGGGGGTCTCGAGCCTGGTCTGAACTGAACTGAGGACCCGAACTTCCCAGTGCTACTTACTGACTAGTAGAGATGTGTCAGAGAAGAGCAGCAAATAAGGAGCTGTTACCGTTCAGAGAAAAGGATGGTTGTTCCCCAAATAGGTCGCTTTCAGTGCCTTGTGTTTCAGGCACTGAGGACGATTATGCCATTTCAGAGGGGGACACTGAGGTCAGAAAGATGATTTCCTTAGAGGCAGAGGCACACAGAAGTCAGGTCTGTGTCAAAGCAAGTTTGGAGATGGTAGTATTGGTTGGTGGTGATGGTGTGGGCATGTAGAGAGAAGGGGTGGGGGAGGGATGCTTGCTTTAGCCTTTGGGGTTTGAAAGATGGGGAGGAACCAGAGTTACAGCACTGGAGATGAGGATCTTGCACCCCACTGGCTTTGTCCTAGCCCTCTCTCTGACCTGCTGAGGAATGCTGGGTCCAGTAAGTGGATAAAATATCTCTCCCAAATTTTGGGCTGGATCAGCCCCTCCAGTCCTGTCAGAAGGGCAGGATGCTCAGCTGACCTCTGGTTGCTTTCCCTGAATAAAGAGGATCTTTTGCCGTGCCTGGAACTGGCTTTCCCTTTGTGGAGCTGGAGCAAGCCCCGCCTCTGCATAAGTCTTGCAGTTTGTGGCTGGGCATTGTTTCAGAGAAGGGGAAAGAGGTAGCCAAGGGCAGAAGTGTCCAGCCTGGAAGCAGAGGCCCTGATGTTGGGATGCTGGCTGTAGTGGGGTTCCCTAATCCCAGGCCCCCACTGTCTCCTCACTCCTTCTCACAGCTGTTGTTGTCCTGCTCCTCTACCCTCCAGGGGTTGATATGGACCCAAATCCTCGAGCAGCCCTGGAGCGCCAGCAGCTCCGCCTACGAGAGCGGCAGAAATTCTTCGAGGACATTTTACAGCCAGAGACAGAGTTTGTCTTTCCTCTGTCCCACCTGCATCTTGAGTCCCAGAGACGTAAGTTCCAAGTCCTGAGGAATAGGATTGGGGTAGGGTGGGGTAGGGAGGTTATCCTGCGGGTCCTGAATCTTGGGGTGATGCCCCTTTTGTTTTCTGGGCCCAATAAACATCTAACTTGGGATCTGACAGGTAGCTATCAGCTCCATCCTTGGTCCTTCCTCACTTATGCTCTTGATCCTCAGCCCCCATAGGCAGTATCTCATCCATGGAAGTGAATGTGGACACGCTGGAGCAAGTAGAACTTATTGACCTTGGGGATCCGGATGGAGTAGATGTGTTCTTGCCCTGTGAAGATCCTCCACCAACCCCCCAGACAGCTGGTATGGCCCCTTTGCATTGGGGACTTGGGCACCGGTCAGCCATAGCCAGGTGGCGAGGCTCTGAAATGAAGCTACAAGACTAGGCTGGGGAAAAAATACAAGGAAGGGTTGGAAGTTGAAAATTGCTGCCTGTTCTGATTTTATAGAAGTTGATCCTCAGGGGGAATTGGGTTATAGATCCCCAGGTCAAAATTCTAGCAAAGGTCAGCTTTTTTCACCTTTGTAATTTTACATTTGTGAAGTTAATGTCATTATTATAATTAATATAAAATATAATTTTACATTGGACAACTGAAGCAGTTTTAGTCATTATAATAACATTAATAGTTACACAGCACTTTTTCTAGGTTCCTAATATTACTGTGCTAAAGTACTTTAAATGCCGGGCATGGCGGCACATGCTTATAATCCCAGTACTTGGGAAGCTAAGGCAGGAGGACTGCTGAGAGTTTGAGGCCATCCTGGACTACGTAAGTGAGTTTGAGGCCAGCCTGCTACAAAGCGAGACCCTGTCTCAAAAAAAAACAAAAAAAGTACTTTAAATATATTATCTCAATCTTCACAATGTCCTATCAAGGCAGGTAGTATAATCTCCATTTTATAAAGACAGAAATTAAGCTCTGAAAAGTTCAACCACAATAGCCAGAAAGTGGCAAACCTGGAATTCAAACCATGCCTGTCTGGCTCCAAAGCTCATAGGTTTAATTTGTAAGATACTCTGTTATTTGAAACTGCTACTATTTATTGAGTCTACTATGCGAGACATTTTATAAGCAGCCTTAGATTTTATTCTCAAAACCTTTTGGGAATATAGGTAACCGTTTTTTTGTTTTTGTTTTGTCTTACAAAAGAAGAGCAGATCCTTGAAAGGGAAAATTACTTGCCCGGAGCTACTCCACAGTAGCCTTAAGTGACCTGATTCTAGAGCCCAACCTTGGTACAGCAACTATGGAAGGAGCTGGAGCCAGGAGATAGGAGTCCTAAAGCAGGCTCTCTGCTGGACTAGCACAGTGATTTTGGACAAATACTTGCCCCCGTGTGGGCTTTAGTCTGTCTGGCCATATTAATCTGTTTGTAGCCCTGACTAGCTCTTCTCTCTGAGCAGGGGTGGATGACCATCCAGAGGAGCTGAGCCTGCCATTGCTCACGACAGACAGGACAACATCCCGGACTTCCTCCTCATCCTCGGATTCCTCCACTAACCTGCACAGTCCAAATCCTAGTAAAGGTGGAGCAGACACACCCTTGGCACAGTCTGAGGAGGAGGAGGAGGATGGGGGTGATGGAGGAGCAGAGCCCAGAACCTGCAGCTAGCAGAGGGCCCCTCTTGCAGACTAACTGAGCTGGCTGTTCTCCACATGAAACCCTAGACCCAGCCAGAGCCCTTCAGGAGAAGACAAGACGCTTTGCTTGGAGTGGGCACCAAAGGGAGGGAAGGTTGGTGGGATGGTGTACCTCTGAAAATTAACTTTCTCCTGCTTTAGTGCTAACCTCTTCCTGCTGCAACCTTCCCACCAGTTTTTGGCTTACTCCTGAGGTAGGAGTTGCAAGTGACTGACGAGATGGAAGATGAGGTAGGACAGGATGCCACTGCTTTCGTAGCACGCCTCCCTCCCCCACACTATCCTGTAGGCTTCCAGTGGTCTCCTAAACCAGTGTCTCTAAGTGGATGTGAACTCGTTAGCACTCCAAATGAGGTGTTACTCCAATTATTTTGCCTCCTTACATCCTCTTTGGAAAAGGATATGGTATAAATAATAAACAAGTAGTAACATACCAACCATTCCACTTCATTTTTCATACCACACAGATATCAAACCCACCATGTCTTTAGCTCTCTAACCAACACCATATCCCCATCACTCATTTACTCTCTTTTTTCAAGAAATATGTATTGAACATCTGTGCTGGGGATCTGGAATATAGATAGCTGTAAGCAAGACAAACTGTATCCCTCTCTTCCTGAGGTTTAGTGTCTATGGAAGAGAATATCAGAACCACATCTTGCAGTGTAATACGTAGCGTGAAGAGGCACTACTCTGGTACCAGAAAAAAGGGGTAGGGTATCTTAACCTAGCTGATATGGTAATTGAGCTGATAAAATTTTAAGTAGAAGTCTCAAGGATGATTAGAAATTAATCAGGTCGGGCAAGGGGTGAGGGGGGACATGATTCAGGCAGAAGCAGCAGCTTCTAAAGACTTTAAATGAAGATAATAATAGCTGTGAGGAGCTAAAAATGTAGTTTGGCCAAATGATTGGATTTGAAAACATGAAGAGAGGTAAGACTGACACAGGTCAAATTCTGAAATGTTTTAAAGCCTATATTAGGTTTCAATTTGACTGCTAGTAAAAGATCATGACCTAAGATATAAATGTATGATTTCCTCATATAAAAGAAATCCAGACTACACACTATGAAGTTCTATAGTTATTAAGGGTCAGTCTTTGTTTGGGCTCTTTTTTTTTTCTCTCCCCCATTACTGAGGATTGAACCCAGGGAGTGGTGAGCCACATCCCCAGCCTTTTTATTTCTTTAGTTAGAGCCAGGGTTTCACTGTGTTGCACAGGCTGGCCTCAAATTTGTAATGGTGCCCCAGTCTCCCAAGTAGCTGGGAGTATAGGTATATGCCACCATGCCCGGCCTTTTGGGCTCTTTTTTGCTCAGGTGTCTAAGGCATATGACTTGCATTTTTATTGAGAGGTTATGGCAGAATGGCTGTCATAGCCTAAGCCATCATGACTGTCAAATGGGCAAAAAGCAGAGTGGGGGGTGGGCAAAGAGAGCATAGCTTGATGTTTATTCCTACTTTAAGAACCATATTTGGAAGTTCCAAGAAATAGCGTCTGCTTTCATGTTATTTGAGAAAATTTGTTAGCACAGGAAATGTTTCATTTGTAGACAGTTTATAGACATAGGAACAAAGTATTATCTAAAAGAAAGGTAATTCTGCTCTTTGGAAAGATAATAAGCCTTTCAAGTCACTGATTTACCAAAGTATGATTTCAGTACTGTCTATTAGATCTCTGAGAAGCACTTTGAGTACTGTGAATGGGATACTGGGATAGTTCTCTAGTAGATACTGTTACTTGACAGAATCAGGGTTTGTTGCTAAAGAACAAGAGGATAGCGGTCACTGGATAAGTTATTAGCAGTTTACATGTTAGGGGCCATATTAAAGAGTTCAATGATCCCCAGTACCAAAAAAAAAAATAGTTCAAACTTTATAGGGAGTAATGAAGGGATTACAAGCAGCTGGATTTTATTTATTTATTTTGAGACGGGGTCTGGCTATGTAGTTCAGGCTGGCCTTGAACTCATTTTGTAGCCCAGGCTGGCCTCAAACTCATGGCAACTTCCTGCCTTAGCCACCCATATGCTGGGATTGCAGGCATGCTCCACCATGGCTGGCTTGGATTTGCTTATTTAAAAGCTAATGTGGCCAGGGATTTAGCTCAGTGGTGCCGCTGCCTGCCTCACAAGTGCAAGGTCCTGAGTTCAATCCCTGGTACCAAAAAGCAAACAAACAAACAGCTAATGTTGCCTGCAATGTAGAGAGTATACTGAAAGGGAGGCCCAAGACAGACAGATAACACAGTAATCTATGCAAGAGGTAATGGTGGCCCAGAGACCGGTGATTAATTTACTTGGATTGAATCAGGGCACAAACAAGAAAGTGGCATTATTCATTCAATAGATTAAATGTTGGGATTTAGCATGTGGAAGACATTGTGGATGTAACAGCCGAAAACAAATTGGTATCACAGAAATTTAGAGTGTGCAAGCGCAAGGACCCGAGTTCAATCCCCAGTACAAAAAAATATATATTTAGAGTGTAGTGGGGACTCAAATGTAAAATCTCAACTATGACTAGTGCTAGGAAGTAGTTCGCCTATCCAGAGAGATCACCAGGTGTTTCCCTTGAGGAAATGTCATCTGGGCCAAGATCTGAATGATTAGTAGGAATAAAGAGGAAGAATGATTGGGAGTCCTCATGGAGCGCTGGCATTTGGGAGCCAGAAGATGACTGCAGCCACCTAGATAAGAGATAACAGGTGACGGTGGAGGTAGGGAGATAGAGAAAAGTGGAAAAGAACTTTAGAAGGCAGATTCCAAAAGATTTAATAGGTGTGAGAGAGAAAGCTGTCAGGATGGTTTAGAGCCCTTGACCCAGACTGGGAGCCATGTTTGGGAGTAAGGTTATCAGTTTGGTTTTAGACATACTGATTAGGCACGTGGGTCCAGAGCTGTGAAATTTGGGTAAGAAGATTGGGCTGGAAACAAATAGATGAGTTGCCAGTGTGGAGGTGCTAAGTGAAGCCATATGTGTGAATGAACTTGCCCAGGGAATGTTGCATGGAGAGGTTACAGGATCCAGGCTTAAGAAACATAAACTCATTTTTCACTAAAAAAATCAATTCACTTCCCTCCCTTCGTGTATCCCATGGGATTAATGACTGGCAGCCTAAATCTTAAAGACTTGTGCCACTCACACTGAGCGACAGGCTTGCAGGTCTTCCAAAGTCCCATCTTGCTTCTACCCCTGCAGGAGGCCATTGTAAGTGACCATTTCTAAGTGCTCTTCCTAAAGATAGTGGGAAACTTGTGGGTGCTCCAGGGAAGGAGTGTCCATTTGCCATTTTCCCTTTCCCTGTCTCTCGGAAGCTTGTGGGATGAGTACCTTTTGTCCAAAATCTCTGGGTCTAAATTGAGATCATCTACTGAGACTGTCTCTGTGCTCTTAGGACTTTCCCCCTTCCTTCCTTTAGAGTAGCAAGGCTTTACCTCCTGTTTGACTGGCTGAGTCTTCTCTGGGGCTGCAACCCATGATCCCTGCAGCTCTGCTCTCAGGATTACCCTCTTCCCTGTAGGGTGAATGATGGGGAGCTGTACTGGCTTGGTTGCCATCAATGTGCTAGTAAATCTCTTAGCACCCCAGTCACACAATGCTAAGATTGTGGAGTAGGGACAGGCAGTCTGACTAGGGAGAGCGCTCCTGAGAAGTAGAACTGTTTGTGAATCTCTAGGAAGCATTCAATTCAGTGGCTATGAGCCTCAGCCCTGATGGGAAAAGTCTTGGGTCATCTGAGACCACAGGACCACTTCCTGGTTGGGACAATGACCTCTTCTTCTGCCAAACCACAGGGGGTTGGCTGGCCTTCAGAGGCACCGTTTCCAGTGGACTGTTTTGAGCCCACACAGTGCCCATGCAGATGGGAGGATGTTTTGGAGCTAATTCTGAGTCAGAGAGCATAGCTTTCAGTCTCCAAGTCACAGTGTTGCTTCCTTCTGTTGCATAGACTTGTCACTGGGTATACATCCACACAGACACTGGAGGAGGGGAAGAAGACAGACTCACTTTTGTAGAACCCTGTGCTGTGGAGGAAAAATGAGAGACTACAGCTTAGAAGATTCACACTAGAGCACTCTCCAGAAATGAGAGAACTTGACTGTGAACAGCAGGGCAATATGGGGACAACACAGAATTGTGCTTTGTTTTTTGGTACTGGGGGTTGGATTGAACCCAGGGGCTTGTGCATGCTAGGCAAGTGCTTTAGCTCTGAGCTATATCCTCAGCCTTTTACAGTTTTGAGACAACAATCTCCATAAATTGTCCATCCTGGCCTCGAACTTGTGATCCTCCTGCCTCAACTTCCTGAGTAGTTAGGATAACAGACATGTGCCACCATGCCCAGTTTATAATGTTGTCTGGTTCATTCATTCATTCATTCAGGCATTATTGAGTATACCTACTATATTTCAGCCACTTGCATAGCAATGGAATACTAAGGAGACTACAAGCTGTTCCAGGAGCAGACATGGCCAGATAATGGAAATTTACTGTAAGGACTGTGGCAGAAGTGCACAAAAGACTGTAGCCCACTAGAGAGGAAGAAGATTCACTGGAGGCAGCTGGTCTTAAATAATAGGGACAGGCAATTTCAAAAGGAAACAAAGCATAGAAGCACAAAATAATCATAATCATGGCAGCTGCTTTTTAAAAACTATTATTTCCAAGTTGGTGTTGTGGACTCTAGTCCTGGCTCCATCACTCACTGGCATCTCAGAAAATGACCCGTTTCTGTACTTCAGTTTGCTCATCTATAAAATAGAGATGATAGTGCCTACCTGATGGGTAGTTTGAATGAATGTTATTAAGCACTTGGTACATTTCAAACCCTATAAGCATATAATTTCTGACAATAACTGAAAACTTTCCATTTTAGAGATGAGGGAAAGTGATTCTTTGGTTGCTGAGGCTCATATGAATTAAAGGCTAGTGTAGGAATTTGAATCCATGTCTGTCTGACATATAGCTCATGGCCTTCCAACTATTCCATGTCTAATTTAGGGCAGGAACACTGGACGTAGGTAAAAGGAGAACATGAGATAAAGATAGCTTTTTGACACTTCCTTTCTGGGTCGCTCAAGTCTATCTTGGCAGACCTGCCAAACACCCCCCCCAAAAAAACAGACTTAAACATCATTAATTACCAGGGAAATGCAAATTAAAACCATGATGAGCTTTTACTACATATACATCAAAGTAGCTAAAACTACAAAGTGCAAAAAATTCAAAACAAATGATGATCAGGATCTGGAGCAACTGGAGCTCTCATGTATTGCTGATAGAAGAATAAAATGATACACTTTGGAGAAAGGTCTGTCAGTTTCTTTTTTGTTTGGTTTTCTTGTTTTTGTTTTTTGAGGCAGTGTTGCTATGTAATTCAGGCCAGTCACAAACTCACTATGTAGCCCAGGCTAGCCTCAAATTCACAGCGATAGTCCTGGCTCAGCCTCCTGAGTGCTGGGATCACAGGTGTGCACTACCATACCTGGCATGACATTTCTTATAAAACTATACACTTCCTCTGACCGAGCAATTCTCCCAAATATTTGCCTAAGGTATATGAAAACATGTCTGCAATGCAACTTGTACAGATTAACGGTTCTAATCCTTTTTTTTTTGGTACTGGCGATCTAACTCGGGACCTTTACGTTGCAGGGCATGTGTGGTGCCACTGAGCTAAATCCCCAGCCTCAGATAACAGTTCATAATGACCAAAGATTTCAAAGATCCCAGACGCCCATCAACAGAATGGATAAAACTGTGGCTTGTTCATGCAATGTAATACTGCACGGCAAAAAGAGAAAAAACTGTTAATACATACAAGAACACGGATGATTCTCAAAAACATCCTGTGGGCTGGGGATTTAGCTCAGTGGTTCCGCCACCTGCCTCGCAAGGGGAAGGACCGGAGTTCGATCCCCGGTACCAAAATGAAAAAAAAAAAAACATCCTGAGAAAATCCTTACACAAAATGTATGCACACTACACTATATTTCATTTATATTTAGTTCTCAACAGATCAATCTACTGTTGGAAACAAATCAGAACATTCGTTGCTCCTGGAAAGTGTATGGGGGCATTGATTTACTGAGAAGAGACTTTAGGTTACTGTTGTTTTCAGTGCTAGGTATCAAACGCAGAATCTCAAGTATGCTAAGCAAGTGCTCTACCAACGAGCTACATCCCCAGTCCCAGGTTTTCGAAATGTTCTGTATCTGGTTAGGAGTTTGGGTTATACAGGTGTATGTATTTGTCAAAACTCAGTGAATTTGTGCATTTCATTGTATGTGAATTTTACATCAAAAGAAAAATGTAAACAAATATTGAACTTTATAGACACGCCGAGCTATTTAGAAGAGTACCAATGTCTGAAATTTACCTAGAAATGCATTAAAATATAAATTGTATTAATAGATTCATTGCCGGATATGTGATAAAACTCAAGATTAGTAAATTGTTTTGGTGGAATGTAGGTGATGGGAAACGGTCGTTCATTTTGCTGTACGTTTGAAATTTGTCCTAATAAAAGAACCAGTTATTTGGGGCATTTTGCAGGAAATCTCTCACCAGAGGAGCCTGCCAGGTTCAGGACCAAGCAAATCAAGACACTTAGAAGTTGAGGGCGGCGCAAGCCAGCTTGAGTGACCTCGCAAAAGTAAATGAACTTTAAATCTGTTCCTCAACTATCCAGTGGCAATGCCTGCCCTCCGAATTAGTAAGCACTTTCTGGTGAGCGGAAACACCCCGAGGTGGTGGGTTCTCAAGCCTAACCCCTCCCCGTTACACGCCCACTCCCTTTCCCCCTTCTTTCAAGGTCCCGAGACCCACCAATCCGGAGGGTAACCGCCGCAGCCGGTCCGGGCTGTAGTTAGTAACTGCACTCCGTTTCCGGGACGGCAGCGGAAGTCCCTGCTCAAGTCCTCTTCCTATTGGGTGTCACCCTTTCGGGGGGCGGGGAGGCGGAAGCGGTGCAATCATGGTGGCCGCAAGGCCGCTAGCTCTGCTAGTATTGCTACTCCTAGGGCCTGTCGGCCAAGCAGAGCACCCACGCGACAGCTTTCGGGAGGAGCTCGTCGTCACTCCGCTGCCTTCTGGGGATGTAGCCGCTACCTTCCAGTTCCGCACGCGCTGGGATACCGAACTGCAGCGAGAAGGAGGTGAGAGAGTGAGATCTGACCGAAGAAAGATTTCCAGGGTGCCTGCTGGGTTTGGGGAGGGAGACAACCCCTGGAGGCGGGGCCTGATTCCGGGTAGCGTTTGGTTCCCGACGGGGAGCAAGGCATCGCCACTCACCTGTTTCCTTTTCCTCAGTATCTCATTACAGGCTCTTCCCCAAAGCCCTGGGGCAGCTGATCTCTAAGTATTCTCTGCGGGAACTGCACCTATCATTTACGCAAGGTTTTTGGAGAACGCGATACTGGGGGCCACCCTTCCTACAGGCCCCATCAGGTGCAGAGCTCTGGGTCTGGTTCCAAGACACTGTCACTGAGTGAGTGCCCACCTTGGGTCCTATTGCAGGTCATGGAAGGAGCGTGGCAGGGGTAGGTGTTGTCATCCTGCCATTGCCCTTGGGGGGCAGCAGTTCCAGTAGGTAGCGATCCCATGGAGGTGGAGCAACTTTGGAATTAAGACGTGGTATTCCCACTGAGTGACATTCTTTACTGAACAAACACCTTCCTCTAATATACTACCAGACCTAAAGTAGCACATGCGTATCCCTACAGAGGCAGATAATAAATGATTGATGCATATTTGGATACAATGGCATAGAAAACTCAGAAATTGAATAACTTGATTGATTGTACTAGGAATTGAACCCAGGACTTATGCACTGAGCCATATTCCCGCCCTTTTTTACAAATTTTTATTTTGAAACAGGGTCTCATTTATCTGCCCAGACTGGACTTGAATTTGCAATCCCCCTGCCTCAGCCTCCAAGAGTGCTGAGATTACAGATAACTTTTTTAAATGCATTCATATATTTTTTTAAAAATAGTATGCTGGGCCTGGGGATTTAGCTCCGTGGTTTCACTGCCTGCTGCACAAGTGCAAGGACCTGAGTTCCATCCCCGGTACCAAAAAAAAAGAAAAGTGTGCTAGGTGTGGTGGCACACAGCTGTGATGCCTGCGACTCTGGAAGCTAAGGCAAAAGGATTGCTTGAGCCCAGGAGTTGGATACCAGCCTGGCAACATAAATCTGATCTCCGGAGGGAACAAAAAGCCAAACAAAACATACCTATGTGCTAGAGTTGATCTGCAGGATAAAAAATCTCTGTATTAGAGGAATCGGCTCTTGGGATGGGCACATCTAGCTGCTGCTCTTATAATACAAGAACTGTTACCCAGTGGCTCTTGTGGACTTACGTCTGCGTGGGCCACACAGGTAGCATCAATGTGTACAGGTATAAAAATATTGGTAGATGCATAGGAATGAGAATACATGTTATTTTCCTCTCAATCTCCCTGTGATAAATCACTAATACAACTGTGATAACACATTTTAGGACAGTAACAGAAGCGATAGGTACTGTGAGAGGGCCGTGAAAGCATGTGTGAAAATCTGAAGAAAACAGTCATCACTCAGTCAGTACTCAGTAGAATTGTTGCCATGTGGCAGTAGAGGCCTAATGTGGTCAGACTCATTTTTCAAGTGACCAGAATTTAATATGAAAATTGACAGATTTAAATATCAACAAGTAATTTTAAAAAATTTTAAATGCTGCGTGGGTCAGTGTTGTGCATACCAAACAAAGCATGGTTGTAGTTTGGGTAGAGCTTTCAGACTTCAAGTCTGTGATCTTTGTTTGAGGCTTAAGGATCAAAGCAATGGAAAAGTGCTAAACAAAGGATTATCAAAAAAAAAATCCAATATTGCACTAAAATAATATCAAATGAGGAACAAGAAGGACTTCTCCTCAGAGACTTTCTCTCCTGCCTGAACTCTGGATCCCTTACCCTTTTTTTTCTATCCCTTACCCTTTTGTCAGTCTGCTCTGCTGTCACTATCTCCCCTCAACCCAAAATGTAGCCCTTGTTTAAAATTCTAGTGTCTAAGCATTAAGTTTTATGCCTATTATTAATATAAAGGCAAATCTTTCGACATTTCTCCAAGAAAACACCTTAACCTGATGTTTTTGTAGGGCACTAGAATGGTGGTTTTCCCTTTGTTCAGTGAGAGTTTGGGATATGACTTCCCACCCTGTGGGCAGAGCTAGGCCTTAGCCTCACCCTTGGGTGTTCAGAGGGCAGTCTGTTGCTTTGTCCAGCTGACCACACTCAGGGAGGATCATTGAGCTGACCTCAGCTCTGAGGTTTGGGGCGTTTTCCACGATGTTGTGGGAAGTACATAGGTGGTGTTCATAAAAACAAGGACCATAGAGTGGTCCTTGTGAAATTCTTCACAGCCTGGTTGGGGAGCAAGGGTACTTAGGTACTTTGTGGGCAGGAGCAGAGGCAGCCCTTGGACAGTGAGTGGATTTGTGTCTCCATTCAGTGTGGATAAATCTTGGGAGGAACTCAGTAACGTCCTCTCAGGGATCTTCTGTGCCTCTCTCAACTTCATCGACTCCACCAACACGGTCACTCCCACTGCCTCCTTCAAACCCTTGGGGCTGGCTAATGGTGAGAAAGCCCTGCAGCCCGTCCCTGCTCAAACCTCTGTCTCCCTTCCCCTCAGTTGCCCCTTCCTTAGCCCGGACTGGACCCTAAATCCCATGGATGTGCAGAGGCTGCTGTCTCTCTGCATTGCCTTCTTCCCAGGGGAGGAGGGAGTTCCTTCTGCAGCTGAGAATCTTTGGGCAGTGGTGCTAGAGAGGGGTGTGGGGAGTGGTGCTGGGGGGTGTGGACCCCATCCAGGAGTGCAGTCTTGAGCAGGACCCAGGTCCACCTCAGATAGACCTCTTTTTCCCCACAGACACTGATCACTACTTCCTGCGCTATGCTGTGCTGCCCAGGGAGGTTGTCTGCACTGAAAACCTCACCCCATGGAAGAAGCTCTTGCCCTGTAGTTCTAAGGTGAAGCTTGAAGGAGTGGTGTGAATATGGGTGATGGCCCCAAAGAGGGGATAGAGTTGGAAGGTGCCCCCTTGCAGCGAAGGTGATTTAAGAAAACCTGTACTTCATGCCAGGTGCTCCATGCAGAGCACTGACGTGTGTGTGTGTGTGTGTGTGTGTGTGTGTGTGTGTGTGACTGGAGATTGAACCCAGGGTTACTGTACTACTGAGCTATACTTCCCTTGTCTCCCTTTTAAAATTTTTTTAAATTTTGAGACAGGGCCTTTTGCCTCAGCCTCCCAAGCAGCTGGAATTTCAAGTGTGTGTCACTGTATCCAGCAGGATGCTGACCTTTTGTCTCTTCCCACCTCCTCCAGGCAGGCCTCTCTGTGCTGCTGAAGGCTGATCGCTTGTTCCACACCAGCTACCACTCCCAGGCAGTGCACATCCGCCCCATCTGCAGAGTAAGTCATAGGAAATGATGTAGGTCCCATCTAGGGACACTGAGAGAAGGTGCAGGTATAGGTGTGGCCCATTGTCTGGCTTGGGCTGAGTGAGCAGTAAATGGCAGAAGTGATGATGACTATTTGGGGCATTGGCTGAACACTGGGGAAGCAGTACTCAATAAATCTTTATCCTACTGAGTACTCAATAAATTTTTATCCTAGAGCATAGTGGTTAGGAACAGTAGCTGTGTGAGTACAACTGCTAGCTGAGTCACCTGCCAGCTGGCATGACCTTGAATGAATCATTTCATTTCCCCAAGCCTTGTTCCCTCTCATCCATCACAGAAAAGGAGAAGTAGAATCGGCTGTTTGGATTGTGGTGATTCATTAAAGAGTTGTACATAATGCTGCCAGCACAGTGACTGGCGCAGGGTCAAGTGCTCAGTGGTGAACAGCAGCAGATCGATAGATGTGAAGATATGTAGACAGGGGGAGGGTTGTGTCCAGGTTGGAGTCCTTGAGGCTGTGTGGTTGGGTGAAAGTGAGGTCCCCTCACTGCTACCATCTGGCCCTTGTGGTAGAATGCACACTGCACCAGCATCTCCTGGGAGCTGAGGCAGACCCTGTCAGTTGTGTTTGACGCCTTCGTCACAGGGCAAGGGAAGAAAGGTAAGCTGCCTCGGCATCTGGTCTCTGCCCGTCCATCCCAGTCCTGCCCCATGGGGCAGATCAGGGTTAGTGCCGTTGGCTGCTAAGTCCCACTCTCTGCTCCTCAGATTGGTCCCTCTTCCGGATGTTCTCCCGAACCCTCACGGAGCCTTGTCCTCTGGCTTCAGAGAGCCGAGTCTATGTGGACATCACCAGCTACAGCCAGGTACCAAGGTCTCAGTTACACAGAGACACACAGCCCTCTTTCCCAAAGCCAGCCCGCCCTCTTGCTTGCTTCTCAGCCCTCCTTTTGTGTTCCTAGGACAATAAGACATTGGAGGTGAACCCACCCCCCACCACCACCTACCAGGATGTCATCCTGGGCACTCAGAAAACCTATGCTGTCTATGACTTGCTTAACACAGCCATGATCAATAACTCCCGCAACCTCAACCTTCAGCTCAAGTGGAAGAGACCCCCAGAGAATGGTGAGTGAGTGGATGGGTGGGTGGGCTGTCAGGGCTGTAGTAGGCTGCAGTTTTCTTCTCTTGGGAGAAGACTCACAGTTCTGTGTCTTTGCTATACATTTAGACCCAGATCTCTGGAGTCCTATGGTCATGATTCTAACTCTACCACTTCCAAGCTCTGTGACTAAGGGCAGGTTGCTTTCCCCTCTGAGCCTTAGTGTCCATAAATTCAAAACAGGGACATTGATACCTAGTGGATTAGATAGTCAATGTAAAATGTGGAGTTTGTGTATGCATTCGTTTAATCCACCAAGTATTTTTGAATTTGTATTATGCATTAGGCATAGAGTGGTGAGTAAGACAGAGGACGGTGCGTACAAGAAACGAGTGTGTGCAGTGAGGGAGGTGTCAGTTAACAGCAACTGTGCTCAGTGTTAGCAAGGCAAAGGGCAGACTATTCTGAGAGTACTCGTTTGGGTGGGAAGAGGGGGCAGTGTTGGCCCCATAAGTGCTTAATAAGTAATAATCATCTCATTATTATCACTTATGGGCTAGGGAAGACAGTACTAATTCCAGATCCCAGGTGTCCTAGTTCTAATGACAGAACTTTTCCCCACATCTCCCCTGGCTTGAGACTCTGAACATGGCCCTGGGGAGTTGGGGTAGGGACCTAACCCTTGCCTGTCTGAGCTATGAAGTGTTGACTTTCTCTATGCAGAGACCCCACCAGTGCCTTTCCTGCACGCCCAGCGTTATGTGAGTGGTTATGGACTGCAGAAGGGGGAGCTGAGCACACTGCTGTACAACACCCACCCGTACAGGGCCTTCCCGGTGCTGCTGCTGGACACCGTCCCCTGGTACCTGCGGCTGTATGTGCACACCCTCACCATCACCTCCAAGGGCAAAGAGAACAAACCAAGTGAGGAGCTGAGTCGAAAACCAGACCCACCCAGATCACTCTGTAGGTGCTCCAGACTGATTTCCCTGAGCAGTTCCTGAAATACTCCTGAAGACCTGCGCAGACACAGACTTAGAAACAGTTTGCAGAGCGGAGCAGGAGACTTACTGTGCCAGCTTCAGAAGTAATTTCTAAAACAAAGTAACCAAGACAGGATACTGGCAGTCCTTGATAGGATGGGATGAGGGCAGCAACATCTTTTTGAGCTCACTTTCTTCTTGGACCCTGTGTTTCCTAATGATTCATAGACCTCCTTTTTTTTCTACTCTCTATATATATGTTTTCATTTTGGAGCACATTAATTTTGCAAAATGCTCGGTTTCCTTGTGGTTTTTCATACCTGTGTACATCATATTTTGATCATATCCATCCTCCCTGTTGCCCTCCTTTATACCTCTCCTCCTGACTCGTAGACCCTTTAAGACAGTTGAAAAGATGGCAAGAGAAACAGATTTTAGAAGCTAAGACTGTGGCAGAGCTGGGATAGATAGGTGGTTTGCACTCCCTTGTGAGGGGTAAAGAGGTATAGTTTTAAATTTGTAGTTTTATTTTCTAGGGAGAGGTAACATTTACCAAGTGCTTTCTGTTAGGTACTAGGCATAGCACTAAACCACCTATTTTTCTGTGGCGTGGGAGACTGCGAATGAAGAAAAAGACTGTAGGACAAGGCTGTATCACATCTGAGGGGCCAGACTTAAAAGTCTTTAAGTGCTTTTATTGTTTCCCAAACTTTCAAAGCTGTGGTTAATAGTTTTGCTTATTTTCAGCTCCGTTATTTGTACCACTTCAACCCCTCTTTCAGACATCTACCTTGGTATTCTGTAGGGTTTTCTGTTTTGTGTTTCGCTGTTTACTTTGGGAAATTTCAGACACAGACCAAAATAGAGTAGTGTGATAAACCCCAGCTTCTCATCCCAACCCAGCTGCGCTTGTCTCCCACCTTCCTGTCATTTTTGTTCAACTCTTTCTTTCTCCTCCTGCTGTTCTTCACTTTCTTTTCCTCCTCCTCCCCACCCCCTTTTCCTTCCTTCTCTTCTTTTTTTTTTCTCGGTTACTTTTTGTGGTGGGGTATCTTAAAGCAAAGTTTAGACTTTGTATCAACTCACTGTCAAATACTCCATTATATATTTCTAACAGAAAAACACTTTTCAAAAAATACAACCGTATCCTCACTTCTGTTATCTACTATGGTCTTAATAAACTTTAAAATTGATTTATTTAAATCAGTTTAAATAAGATTCTAATTAAGAATCTAAATAAGGTTCTCATGTTACATTTGTTTGGTATGTCTCTTTTTAAATTAATACTTTATTTCTTACAATAGTTTTAGGTTTACAGAAAAATTGACCAAAAGTATAGAGTTCTCATGTGCTTTGTCTCCCCCAGCCATTTTCAGTGCTGTGTATTTGTTGGAGAAACTAGGTCATTTGTGGGACAGAATGTTCTTTATTCTAGATTTGTCCTTGTGCTACTGTTTGACATGTCCCTCCATCTCCTATATTTCTTGTGCATTGGTGGTTAGATTTAGAAACTTGATTAGATTTATGTCCCATATTTTTGGCAAGAGGAATTCCCAGGTGATTCTGTGAACTTCCTCGTGCATCACATCAGGGACTGGGTGTCTGGTGCACCAGTTTAGTGATGTGAAGATCATCGGTTAGTGTCTGCAGCATTCCTGATGGTCTCTCTTGACCACTTCCTGGAATCACTGCCTGGAAATATGCTCCTCCTTTTCTGAGACCCTGCTTCCTTCCCTGGCCTGCATGGCCTCTGGTCAAAGCACCTTCTGGGCATCCAGGTTATGGCAAGTGGCAGAGTCAGGAGGTCGAGGTAGTCTGACACCACGAACAAGGTCTAGGTGACCCTTGCTTGTCTCTAGGTTACATCCACTACCAACCTGCCCAGGACCGGCGGCAGCCCCACCTCCTGGAGATGCTGATTCAGCTGCCAGCCCACTCAGTCACCAAGGTCTCCATCCAGTTTGAGCGGGCACTGCTCAAGTGGACTGAGTACACCCCAGACCCCAACCATGGCTTCTATGTCAGGTGAGATTCCTGCCCTCGGGCTGGCCCTACCTTACTCTGCCACTTTCCTTTCGGTGGTTAGCCCAGTGAGGAACTCGAGCCATCTGTCTTGCTTCTCTGCAGCCCATCTGTCCTCAGTGCCCTTGTGCCCAGCTTGGTGGCAGCAAAACAAGTGGACTGGGAAGGGAGCCCTCTCTTCAACACCCTGTAAGTGTGACCGCATCTTCTTATGTGATGTCCTCCGCCACCTGCCAGGCAGTACACAGCTGATCAGGCTCCTGCAAGGCAGATTGGTGGAGATGTTACCTCTTCCAAAGCAACGTGTAGATTTAACTCAATCCTGAAAAATCCTAGTGTTCTGTATTTGTACAGACCTTATATAAAATGATTCCTAAGTGCTTCTAGAAGAATGAATAGGTAAGAATAGCAGCACTTACATACAGTCTACATTTACTCACTAGTTCTCTTAGCAAATAATAGAGAACTTTTCAAACACCAAGTATCTCAGAGAGCACTGGTAGTACAGTGGTGAACAAATCAGCTTTGTCCTCCTTGTCCCTGTTCTTGTGCTCACAATCCGGAGAGGAGACTAGAGGAATGGATGACGAGAGGTGAGAGGCATAATCCAGTGGGTTACAGAAGAAGGCTTCTTTGAGAAACACCATTTAGGCTGAGACCAGGCTAAGAAAAAAACAGCCAAGTGAAGGCCAGCCCTTTCCGCCACTTCAGCACAGGCTGCTTTCTTTTGATTGGCCATTCCTATTGAGCTTTTCAGTAAGATCCCTCTATCAACAGGTTTGGAGACTAAGAGACTTTGCAAACCCTTATGGAGCATTGCCCAGTGCAGCTGAAATTGCAGATGAAATTGGGCTGCGATGGGAAGAAGCAGTGGATCCTGCCTCACCACTCCTTCTTCACCCCCCAGGTTCCCAGTCTCGGATGGCTCCAGCCACTTCATACGACTCTACACAGAGCCGCTGCTGGTGAACCTGCCCACACCTGACTTCAGCATGCCCTATAATGTGATCTGCCTCACGTGCACTGTGGTGGCCGTGTGCTATGGCTCCTTCTACAATCTCCTCACCCGAACCTTCCACATCGAGGAGCCCAGCACTGGCGGCCTGGCCAAGCGGCTGGCTAACCTTATCCGGCGAGCTCGAGGTGTCCCCCCACTCTGAGACTCGCCCTCTTCAGCAGCTGGGAAAGGGCAGTGGTGACCCTCAGGACGTTTTCTGCTACTAGCTATCCTCAGAGTTGGCTTTTGAACCAAAACTGGGCTTTGCCAGGGGCCCAGAGCTCTGCTGTCCAGAGCAGGAGCCACAGGTTAAAGGTGGCGTTTAAATTTAAATTAAGTTAAAAATCTATTTCCTCAGTCGAAGTGTGAGGTAGGCACACATCAAGTGTTCAGTAACCAAAAGAAGCTAGTGCTACAGTATTGGACAACACAGAACAATGTTTCCATCTTTGCAGAAAGTTCTGTGGGACAGCACTGGCCTACATAATAGGGTGTGCTGAAGAGTCCGTATCACTGTGGTGGGTGGAATTTACTGGTTGTGGAATAAAATGTGACAGCTTCCCCGGTTCTTTGCCTCATCTCTGTGAGGCCCGGGGAAGAATTAGGATCTGGGGCTTGTTTGCTGGGTACCTGAACAGAAGCTTACCCTTCCTTTACATGTGTCCCCCAAAACTGCCCGTTTTCACCCACCCCTGCCAAGGATGTCTGCTCTTCATCTCCACCCTTCTCTCCCTTCCTCCTCTGATTGTAATTCCAGAACCCCCTGGGTTTGGCTGGGAGTGTTTCTGTAAGCATAAGCCGTGACCATGAACATGCAGCAACCTGCCTTTTGGGTTCCCTGAAAACCAGTCCCCATCACCAGGGAAAGAGGAGAGAGGCAGAAATAGTTCTCATAATGTACATCAGAATCACTGGGGGCAGCCCAGCATTTAAATAGTTAGCAGACTCTGCCAGAGCTTGTGTCGTGGGTGGTCCTTAGACCACCCAGAGGCTTTGAACTTGGGCCCACTGGATTGAAGCCTGGGCTGCCCACCTCTCATTATATAACCCAGGGTTCCTGTAAAACATGACCTTAGGCAGAGGCTCCCCTGCTTTCATCTTCAGTCTTCCTCTTGCAGACTTGGCATCAACTGTGGATGTTAACTCGTGGTTCCCCTCCACGCCTACCCCAGCCAGCTCTCCCAGCATGGTGCTTTGGCCTAGCCCACCCTGTTCCACCAAGCACACACCCGAAGTTGCCTACTTCACTCTTACAAAGTCACGTGAGATGTCGCTTCCTCCAGGAAGTCTTCCCTGACATGCCAGGCTGCTGTAGCTGTACCTCTCTGCTCCCACAACCTCTTGCACTTGCCTTTACGTGTCCTCCCCTGGTGGTTGCCATGGTAATTCCATTAGACCTTGTGGTTCCTGGAGTTACAGGAGCTGCCTTTCCTCAGGGTCTGGCCCGCCTCAAGACGTAAGTGCCCCGTCAGCAATGGCAAATGTCTGCATGTGCGTGAGCTATCCCAGCTTGGGATGCAGGATAGGGAAGGGGCGGGACAGGAGGCTCCAAGAGCTCCAGTCCGAGCCCAGCAGTGTAATGTGAGGAGTGTTTGTACAGTTGGCAGACATGGGCTTTCTGGGTTGCTGTGGAGGGTCCTCCATGAGCCCCCAGACATAGTGTGTGTGTATTTAGGAAGGGTGGTAGGCTGGTCTATCTCATAGGCAAAAGCAGTTTCGTCAAGGTGTTTTGCTTAGGTACTCCCTTGTTCAGACTTCCCTAAATTCCGCAGTCTTCTCCCACAATTCTAGATTCATAGGGCTGGGGATTTGGCTCAGTGGTGCTGCCGCTTGCCTCGCAAGCACAAGGTCCTGAGTTAGATCCCTGGTACACAAAAAATTTTTAAAAAAATATAATGGGACATCATATGCCCAGCTGCCTACTTGCCATCCCCACTTGGATTTGTAAGAGTATCTCAAATTTAATACCTCCCAAACTGAAATTCTTGATAGTCTCCATCCCCACCCCAAATATGCTCTTCTATGTTATCTCATGCCTGCCAGTGATAACTTGTGTGATCCAGCTTTCCATCACTATGATGAACAGCTGAAATGAGCATTTTAAAAGAAGAGAGGTTTAGGGCCGAGGATTTAGCTCAGTGGTTTCACCACCTGCTGCGCAAGTGCAAGGACCCGAGTTCAATCCCCGGTTCCAAAAAAATAAAAAATAAAAGAAGAGAGGTTTGTTTTGGCTCAGGGTTTCTGTGGTCATCTGGTGCCATTGCTTAGGCCCAAGGTGAGGCAGTAACGTCATGTCAGAAGGGTGTGGTGGAGAAAAGCTGCTTGAGAGGGTGGTCAAAGAGCAGAGGGATCAGGAAGAGAGCCCAAGAGGAAGCCCAGGGACAAAATACAACCTTCAGAGCCATACCTCCTCTGCTTCATCCAGTTAGACCCACCTCCAGATAAGTCCACTGATCTATGAGCTCATCAATGAATTAATTATTGTTAAAGTTAGAGCCCAAATGATCCAATCACTTCTCCAAATGCCCATCAGCTGGCAACCAAGCACCCAGCACATGGGGGCATTCCCAGATAAAAACCATAACACAACTCATATCTTTACACCTGCTTAGATGAAAAACCTTGAAGTCTTCCTTGATCCTTCCCATACCCTGTGTACACCCAATCAACCAGTCCCACATTACACATGATACCTTCAAACCCCAGAATCTAACCCCTTCCGCTATAGAAACTTCAATGAGATCTTCCCTAGACACACCCTATTTCTCTCTCTCTCTCTTTTTTTTTTTTTTTTTTTTGGTATTGGGGATCGAATTCAGGACCTTGCACTTGCAAGGCAGGCGGCAGAACCACTGAGCTAAATCCCTTGCCCCTACACACCCTATTTCTAATTGCTACCTTGGCCACAAGTTTGTGCCTTTCCTGATTGTTTTATTATACCTCTTGCCACCATCTAATATACAGTGCATCTTCTTAATTATTATTCCTCCTCACTAAAATTGAAGCTCCTTGAGGGCAGCAATTTTTGTCTTTTGTAGCTGCAGTGTCTAAAAAAGCGTATGACAGTCACAGAGTAAGTCTACCACTAAACAAGTTAGGCCACCCAGCTGTCTAGGTTCTGAGCCTTGAAATTCTCGCTATGCCATCACTGGGACAATCTTTTTCCTCTGCACTCAGCACTAGGGTATTTATGTTTATCGAGGCTTCTCCATGTGTAGCCTGGCCATGGCCCTCTTCAAGAGGGTTGGCAGAAGCCAGCAGCATCTGGGAAAGAGGGCCAGAGGTGCTGAAGGCCAAGTCAGTCTGTGTCTTGGGGCATCCTGAGGTGGGCATCCCAGCTCCTGGGCCAGCAATGCCAGGCTGAGGAGATTAGGAGAAAGGAACTTCTATTCTCTGAGGGGTCCCAGGGTAAAGAATGGGGAGGGAGTAGATGGGGACTTGCAGAAGTGGAGTTGCCTGCAGAATTAGCTTAGGTCTCCTTGTCTTCCCTCGATGCCTGGGATAGTCCCTCATAACCAACTGCTGTTTCTTTGCTGGACGGACCACTAACACTCAGTCTCTACATGCCCGCTAGGACACTTGCAGGACAACACAGTGGTGCCCTGTGGTTTACAAGTAGAGGCAGAAGCCTACTCCTAAGGAAGCCCCTGAGAATTTAAGAACACAAAGCATGTTGGTAACAAACATGGGACGTCTGTGTTACATGCCTGTATGTGCCTCATAGTGGGAAGATCTGGAAGGCCAGGGCAGTCAGGAAATTATACTACTTACATTCATTGGGCATCTGCTGTGTTGTAGGTACTGTGCTAAGCACATTCTATGTAGCCTTCATTCAATAACTCGATGAGGTAGGTATTTTACAGATAAGGAACCAGAGAGCTTAGAGCACGCTAGCTTGTAAAGGATGGGGCAGGGATTGGAGCTCAGATCTGCCTGATTCTGAAACCTGTGCCCACAGTTTCCCTTTCAGGGAGAAGAGAAAGTGGCCCAGTTCTTAATAGAAAAGAAAGCAATGGCCAGGCTGAGGGGGATGAATAAGGATGTTCTGAGGCAGGGCTCTTTCTGTCTTGGAGAGAACTGGCGCGAGGGCAGGCATGTCTGGCACCAGCTGCTCCCCGGGAGCTTTGGGGCCCCCTGCCAGGTGCTCATGGGGAGCAGCAGGGTTCCTTTCCATACCTAGTAACCAGGATCTGGGGAGGGGCCTGACCTGGGCCCTCTCCACCTGCAGTGGGACTGGGACAGTGGAGGCACTGGGTTGAGAGACAGAGCCCCTGCCTTGTGCAAAGAACACTGAAAGAGGGAAGAAGGGTGGATCTGAGCTCATGCATCAAATTATGTTTCCCAGCTTCCCTACCTTGCCCTGTGCTGTTTCCTCTAATGCCCCCCTGCTTCTGTCTCCTTCCACAGTGATCATGTCTGTAATTGAACTTGTATAAGTCATTGAATAATTTGTTCACTCATTCACCCACTCTATGACCTGTCTTTCTATTTTTTTTTGTTTTTGTTTTTTGGCACCTTGACATTAGTTGATTTAAGTTGAAAATGTCACTCTGGCCACTATGAAGAGTAGATACAGAGGTAAGAGTGGAAAATGGGAAGCCAATGAGGTGACAGGGTCATCAAGTTTTTGTCAAGGTGCCTCAAACACACTTGAATAAGTGCCATGATCCAGTGAACCCTGGGCGAGGGCTCGTTTGTTCTGGGAGAGAAGGAATGGCTAGTTATGACTTGGTACATAGCAAGTGCTTAATTCTTGTCCCATCTCTTAGGTTGATTTGAGCTACTGAATTCTTTATTGCTTTAAAAATATACCTGTTAATGTCCACGTAAGCATTTCAAACCTTGGATAAAGCCCAAGATCTGGGTTATTTTCAATTTGGATTCCCACTTTAAGCTTAGGCAATGTGGGCATCTCAGCACATTCTTCCTGATATGATTTCGCATGGTGGCCTCTGGCAAACTAGAGGGATCTCGGGGCATTGGGAGGATATATGGAGAAAGGGTACCCCAAGGATGTCATGGAAGTGACACATCTGGAGTCTCTGCTTGGAGCTTCTGGTATTGACCTTGGGCAGCTGTTTTCATTTCAGTAAGGGAAATGGTTGGACTAGATGTAGGGCCAGGGGTTATGCAGGGAGATGGACACAGTGGTCAGGGCAGACATCAGCTGGCTGTCAAAAATTATATAACAATAGCACATTGATTCAGTCTTAAACAGGAAGGAAACTGACACATGGATGAGCCTCAAGGACATTATGCTCAGTCTGGGTGGGGAAGAGTCTCACCCTGGCTAATCGAGATTCTCTGAACTTCTGCCCCTCCCTCTGCATACTCTGGTAGGTAGGTCATGTTTCCTGCTGGGCAGCTAGAGTCTCCCAGGGCTTGGAGTGGAGCCCTAGGTGGCAGAGAGCAGCAGGCCAGGCTCTGATGCAGCCACACAAGTTTCCTAGATTGCAGTTCAGCCTGGATTTCAGGAGGAACCCCCGGTAGAGGAACTTGTGTGCTTCATCCTCACCTTTATTCTGAGGGCATAGGACAGTGAGGGCCAAGGGACAGAGATGAGTACAAGTCAGGTTTCTTGGCTCATTTTTGGCCCCGAGGGCTGTG